AGGTGAGTACAGGTGAGGTCATAAAATTTAGAATTTGAATGAGAGACTAGTACCAGACCTTTCGCAGTGACTGGTTTTCAGAAGGAGTTCAACAAAGGCTGTTCCTGACCTGATTTGTCAGAGGGGAAATTTTTACCTAACTTTTTCTTTCCAACCAGACAGTGTGAGTTTTGGAAGCTGGGGCTTTAACCCTGCAAGCTCCCAACCCCGCATGTAGCTGACAGACATTTCTGCACCCACAAAGTTTATTCTGGAAAAACCGGAACAATGACATCTCAGCAGTTCAAGGTGGAACTGAGATTTGCACTCAGGATTCAAGGCTCTTAGTTCTCACTTCTAACACACCTTGACTCCAGAGTATGAAGAAAATATCCCAGTTTGATGAACTCAAGAGCTTCAAACCAGTCAATAAAGGCAAAAACCAGTCAAGAAATCAGTGAAAACATCTACACTAATGAATAATGTGGGCAAAGTTCTTAAATAGACCACTGGAAGAAGAGAAAATCAGTGTCTACCTCACCTAAATGGAGATGTAAATAATGTTTCAGCTAGAAGGTTGGACAGCCCCGTAGTTTTTATTGAGGAGTAAATTATTTTCAACAACTACCCAATATTTATTACACTAATTATACCATTACTCACATCCCTCTACTAGAATGATCCAACATGCATGCATTTTAAAATATGGAGTTGCAGAATTTCATGTCATAAATATCTCCAAAGAAAACCCATCAGATATTTTAATGGGAAAACCTTATACTCTCACTGGTTTCAAATTTCTGGGCACTAACAAGAAATAAGCTAAAGAGTTAAATCTATCCTTGATAAACGGCTTATAATCATAACATCAAAGATACACAGAAGTTGAAAGTGAATATAGGTTGTAAGACAGTCTCAAAGAGACAGATATAAATTGTTCACTGCCTTCCATATGAATTCATTTTTAACTCTATATTAATTGTTTAGGATATGTGAAACTGTTAGAAGCAGAGATGAACAATTTTAAAAAGTAGTTTTGAAGCAAAAATATCAAAGTATAAAATCACCAAGTGCTTCAATTGATAAAGAAAAATGACTGCTTTCATACGTTGATGATGGGAGAATGCATTCCTTTAATCATTTAGGAATTTAATCGAAATAGTGCAATTAACACAATTTGATATAGCAATACCACTTTGGGGAAATTTATCCTATGAAAACAAAAGAATTGTGCATAAATACATGTATGCATGCTTTTTAAGATATACTGAGTACCTCTTCTGCACTAACAAAGGCCAGACAATCCCCTTGTTTCTACATTTTTTTAATTCTAGGGGACAAAGGTGGATAATAAATATATAAGGCAAAGTCCCAGGCAGAGATAAATGCTATGTAGACACTATTTGGGCCAACATGATAATGGGCAACTTCAGAAGGGGTGAGGGAGAAAAGCTCCCTCTGAGGAACAGGTGGCTTTTCACTTGAGAACCGAGTGAGAATTCAGCCTTGAAAACACTGCAGGGATCTACGTATTTGCAGAAGTCTGATGACTCCTGAATTTCAACAGCAATGGAGTATTTAACTAGGTTGTGTTCACGTTATGAAATAGGACACAGATATCAATAGTATCCAGTTGGTATCCCCAACTTAAACATGCCTAAAACTTGACTTCTGTCCTCTCTCCTGAGAAAATTTGCTCATTTTTTAGGTCTGACTGAGCTGAGTTTCTGGCAACTCTATTCTTCCAGGTTTAGGGCTAAAGGCTGTGATACTATCCTTAGTTTTACATTTTGTCCTAAACCCCATGTTCTTCTAGTCCCTCAACAAATCCAGCTGCTCAGTCTTGAAAATATATCCAGAATTCCACCACTTTTCTATTTCCTCCCAAAGAAATTAATAGGAACCAGAATTTCTCTTTTCCAAGCCAGATTATTGCAAGTAGAAATATTACCTTAACCTTCCCCTGCCTTTCTGTGTACAAGCTGCCCATAATGCAATTCTCTGACTGACCTTAACTGATCTACCTCATGAGCCTCATTTCAGACAGGCCTGCCTCACATCTGGGAGGTCAGACCAGACCACAAAAGGACCAAGAGACATCTCAACAAATAGGCCTTGCTGGGTTTTTCCTTCTTAGCATGTTGCCGTGAGGTTGTACCTTTCTAGCCAATCACATTTCTACTTGGCTGTAAATTCTTCGTAGAATCTTAGCACAAAACTAGAGTTTTCTCTGGGTCTTTGCTTCTGAAGGCTCCTGTGTAATGTAAAACTTCAACAACATAAGTTTGATTATGCTTTTCTCTTGATAACCTGTCTTTTGTTACAGGACTGTCATTCAAGAGTGTCAGGGAGAAACAGGACCTACCTTTCTGCACTGAGCCATCATTAGGATACAAGGCCCACGAAAAGCTGGTTTTATTTGCTGTGTTCTCTCAGCATCCCCAGTGCCTACAACAGTCCTTGAGTCATGATAAATGTTGATAAGCATTAACTGAATCCGTGAATAAATGCACTGTTAAAACATTCACGGATTATTGATATGTATGTGTGTGTACATGGATGGTTGGTTTTGGAGGACATACATCAAACTATCGTGCTGGTTCCATGAGGAATAGGATCAGAGGCAATGAGGCAGCTAATAAGGCTTTTCCTTAAGCATCTCCAGACTGATTCAGTTCTTATTATATGACTTATATTTGTGACTTCTTTGAATAACAATTCAATTTTTTAAAGCATATTAATGTTGGCAAGAAAATGTACTTAAAACCCTTTAATCCAAAGATTAATTCATGTCTCCCCTTTTTATCATGGCTACCAAGTTTGCAATGGAAAGCACGCAAATATTCAGGCTTGGTAGCCGTTTATACCATAGAAGATCTAAAAATTCATTGTATTCAGAGTTTCCCAGGCTTCCTCAGCAAACGGAGAACCTCCACCTCGTGGGAGCAACAGCCCTCACCCGGAGAGGGTGTTTTCCTACTTTGATTGATTCTACCATCGGGGAATGTTTTAAGAAAGCTGAAAAGCCATGACTAACCAGCCCCACCCCATGAAGAAACCTAAATAAACATAGAAACCTAAGGGGAGAGCAGGGCTGAGGAACACCCTCCTTGGCATTCCCCCAAGGAGCTCCTGAGAAGAGAGCTGAATACAGGTTTTAAGGGCGAAAGAGTATGTGGGCAGGAAGGGGAAGACAGAAGCCTGTTAAGTTTCGAAGACAGGTGAAGGAATGTTTGAAAGAAATGAGACAAGATAACCGCCCTCAATTATATTAAAGGACCAAGTTGGCTTTTCCGTGAAGTTCCAGAGAAGATCAGTAAGATTCGTGGAGGGAAGGCTTAAGCAAACAACTTAATATTAGGAAAAATAAACTGGCCAGCAGTGAAATGGATTGCCAGGCGTAACGTCAAACCTGCTGTCACTGGAAGAATTCACACAGGGACAAAGCACAGGAAACTGATGAATATGTATACATATTCACATACATATATGTACATACAGCGATGTACATATATCAGCTTTAGTGACACAGTATCCTACTTACCAGGTGAGAGATCACAACATTAAAACCAATTGTAATTCTCATATTTTAGGAGTTCTTGTAACTAGATTCTTGGTTATATGGGACAGAAATCTTGCTTTTGCTTAGGTTTGCATACTTACAAATCCAAAATTAACCCTAGTTTTACATAGGGACTGATGAAGAGTGTAAGATTTCATACCTCTTCTCTCCCTTTTTTTTTTTTTTGGTTCTGGGGATCGAACTTGGGTCGTTGTGCTTATGAGGCAGGAGGCACCGCTGAGCTACATGCCCAGCCCTCTTCTCTCCCTTCTCAAAATCTTTTTTTAATTTTTAATTTTTCTTAATTCTCAGGCAGACTCACTACACGCCCCAATAAAGGCTGTCACCAGCCCTGGCTTGCTCTACCCTCACACCCAGAAAACTCAAGAGGACAGGTCCTCTTCTGAAAAGCCTCATGAACAGCTCCAAGAGGAAACTCTGCCTTGTGGTCAGGCACCCACCCTTGAAATGATTTCAGTATCTGAGCAGGCAGAACCCAATCATGAGCCCTCCCAGGTCATAGGCTCATTATCTCTGCCACAGGCAGGAGAGGACCATGTGAGTGACAACTTCACCATTGAGGCCTAGAACATTTGCCCAAAGGGCAAGTATGCTAAGCACAGAAAGTGTAACACCCGTTACATGCTGAGAAGAACACATATCACAGAATATTTGACTGTTATACACATCAGATCATTTAAGTGGGTTCAGAAGGTTATTGTCATTCTTTTACAGATTACGACCAAGAAGGCACTGAGCCCTCTCACGTGCTTTGGCTTAGAGAGAGCTTTCCAGAATTAGAGAAGAAAGCTATGTTATTTTCACCATTGTGCTGCCATGCGATGGTACTAGGATAAAAAGATACATGCTGTCACTGAATATGTTTCTATAACAGATGGGAATTGCTTTTTCTTGAAATAGCTACTGATGTGGGGATGTTAAGATTAGCGAGGGCAATGGTTTTCCATTTGTAGGAATTTGTATTATGGTAATCAACTGAGCAGAAGGAGCTGTTAGTCATCCTTTCCCAGTTTAGAGGCAGAGTTTTGCAAATGAAAGAGGACAATATACATGTAAGATATGTCTCTCTGTGTGTACTCCTCTCCCTCTGTGTATATGCAGACTTTTATAGACTATGCACAAAACGAGTCCATATATTTCGGACCAAACAAAAAGCAATATAATGTGTAATAGCAAAATTTGGGAATCCTTCTGCCTGAGTTCAAATCTTGCTGCATCACTTACTAGCTTTGTAAGCTTCTGGAAAATATTTCATATTTCTGTGTATCACTGTTTTCACGTGTTACTAGTGATAGCAAAAATCTCATAAAATGGCTGATTGGATTAAATGAACAAACAACTGAAAAGCATATAGAAGAGTACCTGGAGAATCCCAAGTATACAATAACCAATATATCACCTATGTTCTCTATGATTATCCACAAATCACTTACCCTCTCTGGTCTTCGGTACCCACTTCTTCACAGCTGTGTGGTATGCTCAGCAGCAGATTTCCCATAGAATTCTCAGAGGCTATGCTGGATTCTATTAAGGAAACTTTTAGTCTTGTGATTTTCTTCCCGATTCATATCAGACAGCAGCCAAAACATCACGCTGGATTTGCAGGACAACAAAAATATAAGCAAGATATGTTAATTAATAAGGAAATTAAACTAATAATTAATCATTTAAGTTCCAAACTCCATATATGCAATGGTTTGGAACCCAAGTCATCCTGTAGATGTGATGAGGGTGGGGGAGGTAGACAGAGAGGAGGGAGGGAAGGAATTCTGAGATTGAGCATTTAAATCTCTTGAAATAAATTGAGTTCTCATCAAATAGTGTTTGGGACAGTAATGGTGAAAACATTCAAAGAGGGAGATAGGAAGAAAATGCAGACCCAATCTGGAATATTGCTTAGTAAGGTCAATTCTTCATCATTCAGAATGCCAGAAAGCAGTGACGCAACTTGAACACCACTGAGGCAGTGTTACGTTGGGTCTCACTGCTTATTCTAGATCCAGAGAAATGGTTTTTAGATGAAAGAGGCGGATTTCTAGAAGCTACATTTCTGTACATGACATGGAGTTTGCTTCCAAGTTTCCTCCCATAAAGTTGATTTGCTGGATATGAATGGAAACTTTCCCTTCTGGAGTCCCCCTTCTGTCACTGTATAAATTGGGTTCAGAGAAAGTAATTCGGATGCTGCAAAAAGGATTTCAGTAGCTCAGGTAGGCTCGGCAGTGGAGGAAGGCAGTTCTCAAAAGCCAAAGCCCCATTTCAGGAGCCCAGCATTTTAAGGGAAGAATGGAGAAACTTAGCAGCAGTGTTAACTCAAAGCCAAATTATCCTCAAATAAAACATTTGTATTTCATAGATTTTCAAGAAGTATCAGCTACTCTTTGGTGGCTGCTAATGCTTTGTAGTTCTTGTAATTCTTTTTGTTGTTCTTCTTCTTTTATTGGTACATTTTAGGTGTACAGTACGTTTACATTTATCATTGGGTGCTTGTACCTGTACATGATGCATCTTGGTTCTTATTTTTCTCCCCATTCCCTGTGCGCCCTTCACCCCCTCCACCCTTCCCTATTTACATAGACTTCATTTCCATTTTTTTCTTTTCTCATAGTTTTCCCTTTCCCTTCTTTCCTTTCCCCTTCCCCTCCCTTCACTCCTTCACCTTTGAACCTTTTTTCCTATTTCAAATGATCAATTATTCATTTTAATCATTTTAACCCTTGTTTACACTCTCAGTTTCTCACACTAGAAAAACTATTCGGTATTTACACATGTGTGTCCTATTTATTTCACTTAAGTGTAGCTTAACAGCTATAGAAAAGACAGGAGGATGAGGTAGGATGATACAGATGCAGAAAGAAACATGATACAGAGAGCCTGGTGTGTTGACATCCTGAGCAAATAAAAATGAAACTCATTACGAGATTTTTTGCATTCATCTGAACTTAGAGGTACCAAGAAGAGAAAGCAGTAAGAAATTTTAGAGGATACCTATTCCAGTCCATCTCTTACATGGATCCCCATTATGACTGTCCCCAAAAGCAGTCTTTCATCTTGACCAGAATACACTGTGTTATTTTCCAGAACAGTTCATAGCCACGTTATGCAGTGTGGATTGACAAAGCCCTTTTTTAGACCGAGTATAAATTGATCTCCCAGAAACTTCTACCCATCGGTCCAGGGTTGATATCTCTAGTGATTTCCGTAATGACTAAAATATATTTATCCAATTATTTAACAACTACTTATTGAGCTTCTTTTATGAATATGATACTACTTTAAATCCTATATAGGGGACAAAAATGTCCCTCCCCTCAAGCTTCTCACAGGAACAAAGAGAATGACACAATTAGGTTCAGCATGGGTCAATTTTATGGTATTAGCTACAGAGGAGATGTAAGCCAGAGCTCATTATTCCAGTGGAGAGAGAATCCTTTCATTTTAGCACATGGAGACAAGTCTCCATATCCTGGTCTGTCTATATACCCTAAGAAAAAAGAAAGAAACTGGGAACTGGTATCACAGAGGGATTCAACAACTTGGGTAGGAGCAAAAACAAAACTAAGCGGCTATAGATTTGTATGCCCCCTGAACTTCTAGCTACTGTGTTAAGATAGAGAACTCTGAAAATAGTCCAGCATTGCGTATGTGCAGTTTTCAACGTAAAGGCATGCTGTAAACTCTCACTGTAGGATCCATTAATGGATGGACTCTACTTTGGCCACTTCCTTGCATATGAAAGGAAAGAGATATTCACCTGAAAAATGAATTATGTTCCCCACAGGTACAATATATATGTGCACAAACACACACATGCACACACATGCACACACAAACACACAAATACGTATATGATGTGAGGTACTGCTCAGTTAGAACAGGATAAGATCTTTAACTTACCAGTCACTTCTGGATGAGCACAACCTCATCTAGAGGGAAATCAAGTGAACAAGCTTCAGACTTCGAGCCCTCTGGGGTGGATTTTAGCCTTCCTGACTAGTTGGCCTCAAACTGACTCCAAATCTCAGAAATGTAGCAGCAACCACTTGAGGGAAACAAGGCAAAGCTCTTCTCATTCCACAAGGAATCATCCAGCCCTAGAGAGGAATAGAAGCTTATGTTTTAAACATGACAACTAATATGGCTTTTGTATTTTCTGTAATTACTGCCTTTTTGTTCTCTGACTATTTAGGTTCCGGGAAAATGTCAGCTTGTCTCAGCTGAGCAAAGGGCAACAAAAGAAGTTGTTTCGAGTCCAGCATTTGCAGTTTTTAAGGGGAAATGCGGCTCCAGCTTTACAGGGCCCAAGACAGTGCAGGCCACACTGATGTGATGCAAGGGAGGCTCTAGCAAAGCGAGGTCCTTCCTTCCAGGAAGGAACTGAGCTGGGCCTTTAACACCCACTGTTCTGGAGTTTTCTGCACTCTCTTTTCTCATGTGGTGAAAGGTTCTATATTTTTAAATATTTTCAAAATCAGACACTTATTAAACAAAGTCTTGTGAATTGCAGAAAAATAGAAAATGCAGATAAGGCAGAAGGCAGAAAATCAAACTGAGCCATAGATCTATTACTTAAACTTTGGTAACATTCTTGGGTTTCCTTCTCCATTTTAAAATTTTATAAATGTACATGCCATTTGGCATAAAGGAGTTAAACTGAAACCTAAAAAAGAAATTTTCTCGCAAGTGCAAGGTCCTGAGTTTGATGCCTGACACCGGAAAAAACAATTTTTTTAATTTAAAGAAGGGCTGGGGAATACAGCTAAGTAGCAGAGTGCTTGTCTAGCATATTGGACACCCTGGGTTCGATCCCCACTACTGAAAAAAATATCAAAACCTAGTACTTTTCTTGAATCCCACTAATTAACTTAAGCACTACCTTTAACATCCCCAAACCTCATCTGCAAAATATGGACAATATTGTAATAAGATTGTGAGAATTGGTGAATTCAAACGAGCAGAATTCGATGCAGTACATAGAATAGGTATGTGATAAATGTCATCTAGGTTATTAAAAGAAAAAGAGGCATCACTGTACCCTCATATTGACGTTTGCCTATGAAATTAGGCAACATCAGTTCACTTGTTTATTAAGCATTGTCTAATTATAACACACACAAAAGCACACATTTCTGGGACAACAAAATAAAGAAATAATAGCATAAAAATCAGGCCACAGAAATAAAATCTAGGGATTTGAAATCACTTGTAACACTTGCTGGTCTTACTGTTCACATGCATAAAGGCATTTTGCATACTGTGTACCTCATCTAGTTTACACAAGTCTACAGTTCTCAGCCTCACTTTTGTATCAGGTCTGAGATCTTTCTATGAGACAGCATGTGTCATTTGCATGGTCTACAGCCCCAGCCACATCTACTACAGGGACTTATGTGTCATGTTCCATCCCCCAACACCAATCAAATGATAGTTTTGCTTCCCTAGGATCTGCCAGGAGAGACAGGGGACACAGCCAGAAATGTGGGCAAGTCAATGTCCTAAGAGGCTATCTTTTGCTGATGGGAGACAGGAGGCAAGTGGGGAGGCAAGAGATGCAGCCAGTAATCGTTCATCCTGCATGGCTTAGTTCTGGGGCTCCCAGTCATGATCTTCCCTCACCCCATCAATAGGCTAACACGGCAGTAAGGGTCAGTTCATCAGCTGCACTTTGGGCTGAGCTGGCCAGCAAACCCAGGCTAAGACACATGTGATCTCCCATTTACTCAGGGTGACAATCCGAATAGCATTCCTGCGAGGTGGGCAAGGCTCACTTATAAACAGGAACTGGAGTCTTGCTCCTGGACACGAAGAAGCTTGCAGGAACAACCCCAAACCAGACCCAGGCTCTTAACTCTTAATAAATTCCCCAGACACCGAGCTGTTTTTAACACTATGTGCTCCCAGTTAGGCTTTCTTAGCTTTCAGAGTGAAAAAAAAGAGTTTCCGGGTTCTCTTCTCTCAGCCGTGTTCCATGCCAACCCAGGGCTCAAGCCTCCGGTCTGCTCCTATCCATCACACAGAAGAAAGGACTCAGGCCGCAGGCCTCTGAGGTCCCTTCTGAGGTCACCCTACCTTTCAGCTCAGGAATCAAACCTGTCTTCAGCTCCTTTCCAGAGATCTCGCCCCCTGACATTTACAGCTTTACATCAAGCCTTCCCACCTGGAACGGGGAAAGACAGGAAGTGTGTTTCAGAGATCAGATCCCGATCTAGGGTAGGCTCACAATACAAAACTCTGAATTTCCATCTGAGGTCTAATACCTACTAGATGGGCGACCTCTTGAGCCCCAGTTTCCTTATCTAGAAAATGGGTCTAAACACTGGTAGATAGAGCCCTCGCCATGGGTTTCAGCCTTCACCGCTTGGCACCTGGACAGCCCACAGCTAGTGTCTGTACCTCTGCCCAAGGGAGCTAGGTCTGAGTGCAGGGCATATATAAAATGCCCCATAGAGAATGTCTCAAAGAGCCCTAACCAGAAGGGGTTAGGAGGTGGTGGGTGGGTGCCTCAGCTTTTCTGGACCCCTCACAGGTCAATGCTCAGCTGCTTCTGCATAGTCTCTCGGTGGGTTCCCAGCAAGACTGAGCCCGGGTTGCCCACACTGGGATTCAGTCACTTCCAGACCCCTTCCTGGCTGAATTGCCTCATCTCACTTGCCTCTCCCTCCTTTTGCTTCCTAGGATGAACTCCCAAATACTGCAAGTATATATGCTTGCAATTCAGTTGCAACCAGAGTCACAGAGCGAATTCTGAGACCACAACGTGGGAAGAACAGACGCACCACTGTACATTCATTTGCACCAAATCTTTCTGGCCCTGCTGGTTATAACCCTATTTTGCCCACCACAGAGAACAGTGTGAGAAATAATAATAATAATGATGAAAACAACAACAAAGCCATGAACTCTATTCCTGTGCTCCAGGACAGTCAGGGGTATTTTGCCCACTGCTAACTATCTAGCATTCAGCAAAGTATCTGGCACATACCAGGTTTTATATGAATATTTGGTGAATAAATGAATGGATGAATTTGACCTTAGCTTCTTTGCTCATACCGAATTTACACTAAGATATCTGACAAAGTTAACATGCCCTGCAGAGGTCAGACGTTCATCTCCCCTCTTTGTCTATTTCTTCTTTTCGTCTCCTCTTCCTGGTGGCTCTGGAGCAGCTGAACAAGTCCCAGGGCTCTCAGGACCTTTCTTGCCCTGGGTCTGGCCTCATCTCTCCCAGAAAGAAACCCAATCTCCGAGAAGTTTTTAAAATACTCACCACTGCCTGTCACTTTCCTGCTTTGAATTGCTCTGCTGTCTGCACTCATCCTTTAAAGTAATAGCATCAATTAGCAGCTACAGAACAAAGCAGTTCCATTGGTGCCAATCAATGCCTTATGGGGTTTCTGTGGTGGTAAAAATTCTATAATGGATTCCCGAGCTTTCCCCCCCTCTTTCCTCACAATGTATAGCCAAGTGGGTGGCTTATTATATGCCAAGGTGGGAGAACAGAGGCAAGGAAAGAAGCAGGGAGGGCAGGCAGGAAGTCTTTCCTTTAAGTAGAAATTAAAGAATTTCTATCAAGTATTTGGTAGCAATGTCGTGGCTATCCAGTGGTGTCTGAATTTGATTGCAGTTTTATCTGTAATAAGATTTCCAGGGCCTGCTGAAAGATGGCACTATCTTTCAGGACTCCCACTTGCTACCCCCTCGTTATTTTATTATTTTATTTGATTTTTGAGACAGGATCTCACTATGTAGTTCAGGCTGACCTTGAACTCACTATGTAGCCCAGGCTGGCCTCAAACTCACAGCAACCCTTCTGCCTCAGCCTCCTGAGTACTGACATTACAGGCGTGCACCATCATGCCTGGCTTTACTCCCAGTTTTGAGGCAGTATTTGGAGAAAATAAACAAATCCCTCTCCAGGAAGCTGTAGCACTTACAATTTGTTGCATTGTCTTCCATCTGAGAAATCCAGAGGGAAACCCTTGTACATGACTCCCTTCGGTTCACACACAAGTCACCAGGACTCAGAGAGGCTGCCACTAGCTCAGCACCACGCCGCTTAACAGAGACAGGGCTGAGGCCAGCTTCCAGATCTGAGTCTTCTTGATGCTTCTTAAAATGCTGCCTCCTTAGGTCTTTCTTGTCAGCAGGGCAAAAATAATGAGAAATACATGCAGAGGTACATGTGGAATTGAATGCCATTGGTTTCTTCAGCAGGGGTTATATCCGCTTATGTTAGGTTCCTGAGGATCTTGTGTTCATGAAAACAATTATGCAATTCCCTGACCTAATCTCATTGCTTTCATTATCATATATTTCTTGTCTAATTTCTCTTCTTATATTTTAGGGACCACGAATCTACTGTATGTAGATCTTCTACTGGTTATGTATTTTTATGGGTCTGTTTTTACTACTGATAAGACAGAAGTTAAACTTAATAACTGCTTATGTGTTAAATGCAAATTATTAGCATCCTACCGATTTGGGCATTAGTCAACTAACGGTATGGGATTTTCTTGTCCTCCGTAGTTTCACAGTACTTAGTATACTGCCTCGTAACATTTTTTAAAATCTAAGATACGTAGCATAGTAATTGTTGGTTCGGTAGATGAATGGGATAAATTTGAGGATGAAAGACTGAATAAATCTATCAAGAAACAGTGAACTTCTTATACTGAAATTATGATTATATTAATATTGACATTATACAGTAGAAAATCTCAGTAATTTATGTATATGAATCCCAGGATCTTAGATCCACATGTTTTAAGTTATTCATAACAAAATTTATACAATCAATTCATTCATTAATTCAAATTCCGCAAACTTCAGCTATCCTATCATTCACTTATTTAATCAATTAGCTTAACTCTCACAAAGTACTAACTAGATGACATCCCTTCACCAATATAGCTGACTCCCTAGATTGTTCACATCCCAAGTAAGATCAGAAAAAGAATAATAAAAACCTAAATTCAATGGAAAAGAAAACAATTCAATCCGATTTCCTGGTCTTTACATTAGTCTTTCTAACATTGGTAGTAAGCCAACACATACCCATCAAGCTCCTAATTCATCAGTGTCTATCATCATTATT